AAGCTATCACTGTTTTCACAGTCACCACTTAGGCTACTGCGTCCTTCCTTTTTTAAGCAATTTTTCACCTGGCATGGTAGCGCGAAAGTTCTATTATCTAATAATGGGACCAACTTTGTTTCACAGTTAGTATCTGAGCTTACTAAATTAATGGTTATCTATCAGTAATTTATGACCCTTATAATCCTTCCACTAATGGTGAGGCCAAACATGCAAATGATACCCTTGTAGCCATTCTTCAAAAGATAGCCACCAATGATCCTAGTAGATGGAATCTCTACTTACCTAGTGTGATATTAGCCTATAGGGTTAGCTATCATCATATAATTGGGATGTCTCCCTTCAAGGCTCTTTACATTCAGGATCTATTTTACCCTCAGGTGTACAGCCCATACTTGATACTGCAACCCCACAAGCTAATGATTTAGCTATGAAGAGGCTAGCTGATGAAATTGTCAGAGTACAAGCCTTAGCTTTGAGTTCTCTTGCTGCTACAACCCTAAAAGGGAACTAGAACTAATAATATTTTTGCTACATTAACTGAATATCAAATTGGGGATCTTGTACTCTTTTACCATCATAGACCTGGAGGATGAATTCACATACATGATACCTTATGAGCTGGTCCTTACTGTATTATTTATTATCAGGGTATTGAATACTTCATTTAAATTATTGATACTAGAAAGGTTATTAATAGAGTTCATAGTAGGTTTCTTTTGTAAGTATGTGCCCCCTAGGCAAGATCTTGAGGGCGCAATGTTGGAGATTCAACTGTGATGACTAAAATTAACCAAGATAAAGGTTTCATGTCTCGGTCTAATAAGATCTTAAAAACGCTGTTGGAGATTTATAATTCTCACTTAGACCAATGATTTATCCTTCAGAGCTCTCAACTTCCTCTGACAGATGAGGCTAAGAAATCCAAAGGGACTAAGCAACCTGAAGGGGCTAAGCCCTCCAAAAGAAGGTCAACCTCATCTAATAAGAACTTTATCAGATCTGACCATCACAAGTATAGTACTATTAATCAGCAATATCAGTCCACTATTATAAATGATTTTACCTCAGTTGAAGCACAAAGATCCTTACAAAAAACTACCAAATCTACCCTTATAAATATCCATCATTTCTAATTAAGAAAGTACCACTTTTTTGTCTCTCATAGCTCAATTTTGGTCAATTCATAACATAGTTCTGTATTCCGATTGGAATTTATTATTGCAATGAAACTAATAACTTCGTTGCCTTATTTTTACCTTTGCTAGAGCCATAAAACTAATAATTTTGTAGCCTTCATAGCGCCTGATTATTGCAGTTTTTTCACAAAATCCAATAAGATCAATCATTGCTTTGTTGACATATGAGAATAATCTCTCATAGTCAACTCTGATGCTGAATCAAAATGTTAGGTCAAGGGAGAAAAAGAGGATGGGGGAAAATTAGTGAATACGCGCTAGATGTAGCGCCAGGCCCAGAAGGTACATAACAGTGATTTTAGTTTTGTGGACTACATAAACTGGTCTAAACACGTTTTCCTGTAGGACAGAAAATGGTAGGGGGTGGTGCACCATTTCCAATACTGGAGCAGCAGGCAATGGAGCTGATAACATTGATAGTGGGCGGTGTATTGGTGGTTTGACTTGTTTTAAATGCGATTTCCATAGAATTTTTCAAGATATAATCATGTGGAACAAAAAGTTAAAGCTCTGTGTTTTTGCGTTGAGTATTATAGAGTTTTATTACTATCATTTAGAAGAATATCTCCTGCTAAATTTTTCAGCCATGTATGCTAATTTACTTAATCTATTAATAAATGAAATACCAAGTTAACAGCTGACCACCAAAATAATATCTCTAGCACTTACCTTATTTTCTGATTGATATACAACATCCCTCAGTGGAATACTCTTTGGATTCTCAGCTTCAGTCTCTGCCAATCAATCGATGATTTAAAAATTCTCTGTTCTAAGTTTATTCATGTATATATGGATTCATGATTAAATCAGAATTTAAATCATAGAAGTTTGCTAACTTACCTAATATATTAACCTGACCCAAACCATCCACTTCATCCAGGACAATCCAAGGATTAATTATTGGAATATGTTACCCTAATAAATCTGACTTCTGATCAAATCTTGGAATTGGCATACCTTATATTATGTTATTTTAACATTGCATCACTATTGATGACAATTTGAAATTCCTGAACTAGCATGTTATGATATGAACACATCTATAAAGTTATTTTTTGGCTTCTGCAGTTAAGGACTTTGGAATTAACCCCAATAAATGAGTTGTCATTTCAATCAAAAAAATTGGTCTGAGCACCCTCTAATCTAATTCAAAATGGTAAATATAAGGCATTATGCTTACTTTTAGTTTAAATAAATACATGCTGGACAAACTACTCATCCAACCCCACCATAAGTTACTTGTAGATGTTTTATGAAGAAGGTATAAGGGTAAATCTATGAACTCCACTAACTTTTTGTATATTGTTACCCATGTTAGGTTGGTGGAAAGACCCATTTATATACTAGAGGTATCCATAGATGAAATTTCTACATCAGCCTTGGTAATGAAACTGAGATCAAAATAGCCATTAAATAGTATAAATCTAGAAATACATCCAATTTAAACATTCCAAGACAAATCTATAGACTTTATTGCATTTGTGTATTAGTGGTATTTTCTATATGATGTTAATACCAAACACCAGATTTTGGCAAAACCTAAAATCTTAAATGCCATAGATTAGGAACTATTGAGATAGTAGGCTATATCCCATAGATGAATAAACTAAACTACAGTCTTAGGCATGCTGATCAAAAAACCTGCAAGAGCCTTTAAAAGACTAAAAAATGCTTGGTGGTGGACTATCTCCCTATACAAGAGGAATGGCTTGCAAATAACAAGGGTCTCAACACTAAATGCAGTTAATGGTTTGTGGGTTTTTAAAATAATATCATAATACTTTCTATAGGTTTTAATTGACTCAACAAAATTAAATCTAAAAAGTAAAAGTATATAAACAATAAAAATTATACTAATTTCATAAAACTTTCTTTCTGCTTTGCATAACTTTCTAAGCCAAATTACACAAATTTAAAAAAAAAACAAATCATATTCGCCCATAGTAGTTTTGCTCCAATGTCCTCAGATTCTCTGCTGGCTGCTCCAGTGTGGGGCAGCGGCGAAACTCCCCCTGCCATTTTCTGTCCATCAGGAAAATATGCTAGGGCTGGTTCACCCAGTCATTCCAGACCCATGGGCTGATTCATTCCGCCCAAGGACCTGGACGCACACCTTGCTCATACCCAAGCATTACCACGCTGCCCCCTAGTGCTCCCCTGGAGCAACATGTGCTATGGCTTAAGGGTCGAATATGGGAAACTATTTCATATACCATGACCAAGCCATTATTGAAATGGCACAGGTGGTAATGATACCCGCCAAATTTATCAATTTCTGCCCCTACAAGGGGTATTTTGACCTCAGCTTCACTTGCAAAGCTGATGCTGCCACTGCAGCAACTGTGCCTCTGGTTTTCCAGGGTGCCCTCTCCCCACAACTCAGACTCAGCTCCCAGCGGACACCACTTTGGTGGTCCAGTTTGCTGGCCTGCCCACCCACCTCCCCCCTGAAGTGCTCCACCAGGAGCTGATGGCCAGTTTGGCAGCCTATGGCTCCAACCCCATCTTACAATTTGTGGTCCCAAATGGGGCCACACGACTTTCTGGGCATTGGGCATATTTCATGATAAGCCCTGAATTTAGTAAAATTGTGGCGGCAATTCCACCGCGCACTGTTATTCCCTCAGCGCCTGACCATCCATTTTGGGCTGCATCAAGGGCGGGCGGATGATCTGTCCATAATGTTTCAAGTTAGACCACTTGAAACGCAAGTGCCCCTATTCAATCACTTCAGATGGATCAGATGATTCATCCGCCAACCTCCAATCTGATGCCCACCCTGTACAATTTCAGGTATGGGGCACAATCCTACTTCTTTCACCCCCAAATCCTGTTGCTGCAGCTACACCTGCAGCCACCAATCAGCACCCACCTTGCCCCAATGCCATAAATAATTCCTCCAATCAAACATCAGATTGGATCCCAGTTTGATCTCATGCTTCCACAAAAGAATCAAACAAAACTCAACCATACGCTAATTTCCCAATCTGATTCAACCAAAACCCATGGGAATAATTGGAGGAAATTAAAAAAAGAAAATGTTTTAAAGAACTGTCGCTGCAAATTGAGCAGCTCTGTAACGCAGAATGGGATGCAAAATTCCCGCCTCAGAAATATGTCCCACAACCTAATGCCAAACCATTCTACAGCGACCACCAGCTTGCATTAGAAGCAGCTGCCACACCAGATTGCTGTCCTCTCTGCAAAGCTGCCACCAAAACTGTGGCTGCACTTGTAGGAGGAATTTCACCTCCCGTTATCCCCAAAGATCTTACTACACAAAGTAAGATCAATATGAAAACTTTACACAAAAACGTCACTGAAGCCATACAGAATGTGGTAAGAGTAGCATGGAATCTGAAAGCAAAAATATCCTGAACCAACATTGTTACACTTAATAAATTCCCAGACCACCTCAAAACTGAAGATGCTTTGGCCAAATACATTGTTGGCATTATGATGGCTGGCAAATATTCGGAAGTTCCAGTCATCAAGGATATTGAACCCCATACCGCCAATGCCCCCCACCCCTACTATCTGCCTTAACATGCACCCTACTCTGGAATGAGATGGATGCAGCTGAAGATGAGCCCCCCGATCCCCCTCCCCATCCACCATGGAGGTATAGCAGTATTCGTTGCCCACCTGGTTGGATATTTTGTTAGGTATGATTCAATCAATCCATTAATTTTGGGCGTTTTGATTGAATCGTTATTTTTTAATATTATGATTTTTAGTTTTGGTTTGGTAATTTCCATCCCCTGGTCAGCTTACCTCAGTTAAATAAAATAAAAATTATACTAGCAGCAGTAGGTTTTAATCCTATGACCTCAGGGGTTATGAGCCCCACACGCTTCCCCCACACCATGCTGCTCAAATTCATTTATCAATTTTAATTTCTATTGGAATTAGCATAATGTTTCTACATAAATTTTTGCATCCTAAAATACATAAACTGTCACCTATAGTATGTCATTAGATTGAAATAGTATAGGTAATTAACATATTATATACCATGTTTTAAATGTCATATATATATTATATAAAATTTTAAAATTCATAATCTAAATTTATTCAAGGCATGCCAACCAGGGGATGGACATTACTGAATAAAAGAAATAAATCCCAAAACAAATGGGGTGACTAACAAAAGAAAAAAAACTCCAACAAGATAGGGAGCGGAGTATCAGTAGCCCACCATGGCAGAGGGAGAAGGAGAGTTGGGCAGCTCTTCTTCAGGCGAAGGCTTTGTGGAAGATGCATACTGGTTGTAGAAGTAGATAAAATCTGAGAAAATGGCGTTGAGACAACAGCGCGGTGGGCTGGAAGAGTGTGAGCTAACGATTACTTACCTCAATATCATCTTGGAAGACAGCCTCAACTAACTCTGCAACGTGATGTTCAGCATGAAGGTGGGCACCTGGAAGTTGGTTCAAGTGGGCAATATTTTGCCAGATAATTTTAGAGGTTGAGTTGAATGCTGCTAGTTTTGCAACAAGAATGACGGCGTCATTGGCATCGTTGGCCAATTTTGGTTATTTTCTCCTGTGCTACTTTTGGGAAATCAGGGAGGAAATTGATTATGCTCAGCCCTTCATTGAATCATTCAACTGATTATGACACTGCGTTGTGGAGGTGGTGGCAATTGGGCTAGGCCACCGCTGCTGAGGCAAGCTGGTGGTTACTTTGGAAGGGGATGTCATTAATTTTAGGAACATATCATCTGGGTGAGAGGGTTTTTTCAAAATCAGATTTATAAAACTAAGCCCATTCTTATTCATCTGGGCCTTCTTCACTGGATTCATCATCCTCATTAATGACATTTTACCTGATTTATCAATCTCATCAAATAAGTTCCAAGGATTTTGGTTCACAAGAATAGAGGATGTAGCATTTGGGTGGGTGGTAGTAGTTGAATGGATTGCTTGGGTGTAAATAGTGGTCTAAGCCTGACTCTGATTGGTCAGGTTGTGCCCATGGTGGTGAGTGTGGGTGGAGGTTTTTGTGGGTGCTTTCCCATGATGGCTCAAAGTGCAAGAATGCTGGGTGGGAGGTGACAACAAAACACCCTATCCAGATGTCGCTGAATTGGGTTCAAAAATTTAATTAGTTAAATTGGCATGAGTGAAGGACCTTTTAGAATGGTAAATCTCGAAAAACAAATGGGACAAATATGTTGACCGCTATCAACATGAGCCTAAAAGAAATGCTCCAGCGCTATAGCAATGCAAGCATATGGAGGGATTTGATAGGCAATGGCTGAGTGGTTTTAGATGATAATGGCAGTGGCTCAAGAGATAGTTAGGCGCTCTTCACCAGAAGGAATGGTAAAGACTAAGCTGGGCTGATTGCCATAAGCCAAAAGCCTTGTGTTAAAATTTAGGGACTTTTGATGATTGTTAAAGAAAAATAGTTCCTCAAAAGTTAACTGCACAGATTCACTATGTGCACGATTTATGTTGTCTGATAGTAGTTGATAGTTGATTGATGATAGTAAGAATACTATTATCCAAAGTTGAATAAAAAACCCATTATGCTAATGCTAGACCTGTACTTCTCAAAATACTCTCGATGTTGACAGTAGAGACTTCTTCCCTTATTCACCTAAATTGATCCATCTCTCAGATCCCTAAGTTTATGGTCTTTTGTCTCATCATGCGGAGTCTACAGCAATTCCCATCCAAGTTTATCTTCTCTTCTAAGGATCCTCAATCCTTACTCTTTATTCTACAAAAGAGTCCACAATTAAAGAACACAGCAATAACCACTTGAAGATGAATATAACTTAACTAATGATGAATTCTGTTAAGATTGACTCTATTATCAATTTGAATTATCAGGAGATTTTATAAATGGAATTTTGTACCCAACCCTTGTTTGGTACCTCAGCCATTAAACAGCAGCTGTTGTCATTAAACTTCCCTTTGATGTATCACCAGCAATGGCCTTCTACATCTGGTTAATTGCTTTATTGGACATCCTCAAGATTTAAAATGGAAAGAGTCAGAAAACATGTCCCTAATAATTTCCACTCAATCCCAGAGAACCAACCATATTTGATGAGTGACCTGCTTGGGTAATGTGACTTGTTACCCATTATGGCAGGTCATGAACCAAATGATCAATTTGCTATTTGCAGGTAATATCATTTACCTCACAACTTGAATATATAGTTCTTAATTGGTCAGTGATAAAACCTGACTAATCCCAATCAATACACCTGATAGTTATCATTAATTAACTATCAGATGCCCATATTTTATTAGAAAATCTTCTTAATGAGATCTTAAGCATTCACCCAGATCAATCCCCATTGGATCTGAACCTGGTAAATTACTAAAAAATCTCCCAAACACTATTAGTTAAAAAAATCAGTTTAAACAAAAATCTAAAACAAAACTATAGGGAATCAGCTTCTATTTATCCATAGTAATCTAGGAGGCTGAAAAGGTAGGCAAAAATCCTAAAACCCTGACATCAACTCATCATGCAAAAGTTGAGGTGGGAGATGTGAAGGGAGGTTGACAAATTATACTATCAGTGCGGTGCCATCAGGGAGGCAAATTCAGGTAGTAGGGACAGGAGTATTTTATAAATTAGAGAAGTCAATGCTGCTGCTTCAGCATCCTCCTCTGTTTGGAATTCTATATCAAAACAGCCCTTAAAAGGGTGAAAATTGATAAATCCAGTCAGCACAAAGGCAGCAGTAGTGAGTTTGATTATTACTTTGTTGGTATATAGAAATAAATACCTATAGTCAACATGGAGGCTAAATCAGATAGTAGATCTAGGTAGGGTGAGAGAATGGAGGCAATTCAGGTGGATGTATACAAGGTGAAGCTTTAAGTCCTGTGGAGGGACAAATCAGTCTGGTAGAGTTTGGCAGACTATTTGAGCCTGTCTGAATATTTCATTTAGGGCAGAAAATACTGGGAGGTGGATCACCACTGCCCCACACTGGAGCATGTGGCAAATATGAGGACATAAATTGGAAAATAGATATGTCTAGACATTGGTAGATAATATAAATTTTTTTATAAAATTGCTTCAAAGTGAGATCAAGAAGAAAGAAAAGCTTTAGTATATTATAAATATTATATAAAACTTGAATATAGTTATAGACTTTATATTGGCAGAATGTAGCAATGTTAGGTTTTATCATAACATTAGTTTGACAGAATAGTAATTATTTTTAATATTTTATATTATAAGCATAATAAATATAGCATCATTACTGTTGTATATATTAATTTTTAGTTTATGTGAGTTGCAAATTAATTTGGTACTGCATCTTAATTTTTGTAATTTTATTCATATGGAACTTATACTTGCTATAATTATTTTTATAAATCTCCCCATCATTAATTGTATAATGATAAGAAGGGAGGTAGAGATTTTGTTCATCCTAGTCAGAACAGGGTTTGAATATATTATGGAATTTTTACCCCACCTTAGCTTGTGGTTACAGGTGTGCACAACTACATCCAGTTCTTGCCATAATCATGTGACTTACCAATATTCAGTAACTACCAGCGTTATATCCAGATTTAAATACAGGCTATGTATACTATTAATGAATGACACAAGTTGCCATATGAATAGATTTAATTTACTTTTTATATCCTTCTGTTTAATTTAGCTAGAATAGAGGTATCTAGTATATGTTTATTGAGTAAAATACTGGATGGTACTAGTAAAGCATAGAAATTTGTCCTCAATCATAGTTATTGCTTGCTCACGTTATGTAACTTAATGCAGCTACACTAAAGATGTATATGAGGTAATTTTTGATCCTTTGGGTTCATATTGTATAATCTTATTGATATTTCTGAAATATCAAATTGATACCAAGCTCTATTTTGATACTGTTAGTAGTTAATCTGCTACATTATAGTTGGAGGATCCAAATCCTAAATTTTTGGCACCATCAGAAATATTTTGTTAGTATCTTTTGCTAAAGTATCATTTATGATAGAGTCATATATTTTTATTAGTGTTTGTTAAATTTAATTTTCTCAACAAAAATGCTGTTGGTTAAACTCTACAACTGCTTTTAATCTGTCTATATATTTTCTAATTCTAAACTTAACTAAATTTATTAAGATAAATTAAACATTCATTGTTCCTTTTATGACTTGCTTTCCTATTATAACAATAAGTGACATCAAACTGTCTTATTTCATTTTTGATGCTATATGTGATAATAAATTTATAAATTTTATTTGAGGTGGGCCGACCTGGGGATGATACCGCACCGATTAGGGAAGTGAAGAAAATGGGGAAGGAGGATAAAACCCAGAAAACCTCCATGCGCGGCGTATTATAGGCCAGGAACTCCATGGACCGCCTTTGCTATTCGCTATCTCAGTTCTGGGCATTGGTGCGCAACGCCAACACAGTCAAAATCGTCCCCTACCCAAAGTCCATTACCGGGATCAAACTCGGGAGGCAGTGGTAGAGGGTCCATACTCTACCACTGGGGTATCCTCCCTTTATATGTGATAATAAAGATCATCTAATTTAGTCTTTATACTAACCATTCATTTAACTAAAAAGATTTTTATATATTTCAAGAGTATTCTCACTTCATATACAATTGGTGAGCTTAAATAGTTAATATAAAACTTTTTTATATCTGGACATTTAATAGTGTAATAATTAAGTAAAAATGTTACAAGAAGTTTTATGACTAATATTGAAGTCACTTGACCCATAGAAGGTATTTTATAATGACCATATACTAAAAAACTCTCTAAAAGGAAATTGGTTACTTATAAATTTTAAAACTATTTTATCTACCTTTGAGTATAATAGGATCTCCTCATCTTAGATGATATATAAGCTTTAGATTAATTGTAACAAGTTAGCTAAAAG